TAGTGTAATAATGTAAAATYGTCTTGTTTTGACTCAAACAGTACCTATATTTACGTACGCAAAATTGTTTGATCRGATTGAAATGTATTCAAATAATCCGAATGTATCGTTTACATGGGTACAAAATTATTAATTTGATCACGATGAGCGTTTACTTGCACCAGACTTTTTATTCWTACTAGAAGTACTGACATTTGTGGAGTTGTAAACTTTCCCTTAAAAACACAGAAGTTCTACTTTTGYGATGAACATAACAAATGWATGCTGTTTGTCTTCCTTCTTTACTGGATGACAGAGCAGTAGGAGATTCTGCGCCGTGCTGCCGGCAACGATAGCGTTGCCGCCCCTCCTCCACAAAAGACCAGAAACCAGCGGATCTTAGGATTGACACTGACGCAATAAGGTCAGTTTACCATGACCAGAGTAAGTGTTTACCTGCACACCATCGGATTATCCATTGGCATACACAACACCTCTCATTTGGTTTATAAATTCATACTGATCGAGTTAAAACAGATCAGAATATTCTTACTGGGGCATTTACATGATGCATTTTTATTCCAACTGGCTTCCAAAAGCCATGTTACTTTTCAATGTTTTCTACAGAACAAATGCATTTATTTCTTAAATCTCTATCATATTTCTCAGGATATATAGATAAAAAATATTTCTTTGTTTCTTTCTCTTCATCTTTGTTGTTATTCAACTTTGATCATGATCTTAAATGGGTAATTACAGACTGAAAAAAAAGTTTTGTTTCCAGTCCAGCTAAAACTGTTTTTTTTTTCTGCAGTGTGAAAGGTCATTAATGTGAACATTCTCACCATCCTGTGGTGTGGCATGGGTAAATTCATTGTTTTGGTTCAAAATGTGCAGGGAAATTACAAAAACTTGGAGTCAAGACAAAGCAAAACGACACGAGTGCATCACTCTTGGTGCACGCATCCTTGCGACAAGTTCAACGCAACAACTATATGTAATGGATTTTAAGTATTTTTAGCAGTTTGAAATATAAAACAGAGCTACATGAATGAAAATGATCTACTAAACTGTGTGAATGTTTTCTCTTCAATGATCAGTTTAATAAATGCACAATAAATCTACTTTGACTCAGTGTTGACAATCATGGGAGTGAAACGGCATGTAGTTTGAGAAGGGGGTCTCTGCAGTCACCAAGTAGGAGTTTCTTGATTTGTGGGAAGAATTTGTCCAAGACATGATTGGTCTATTGGACTTTTATGGGTGTAATTTGCTRAAGACATGATTGGTTGGATTGAATATTTTGGGTGGGGTTTGAAGAAGATGGCGGCAGCTGGGARWAGCTTGATCCAAACAGCCTGGAAACACCTGTATTTTTAAATACAAGTATCAATTTTTGTCACAACTCAAGACAGGAAGGTGCTAGCTGCACGAGATTTTAAGGTCATGCATGCAGAAAAACGTGTAACCATTAGTCAAAGCATCTCTAACCAGCCTGCAAAAAAGATTGCTATAAAAAAATGRCTTAATATTAGTCATAACTTGAGACAGGAAGGTGCAAATGTTAGTGCTTGAAGTCAATAAATTGTATTTATTTACTGTCATAATAATTTTACCATTACTTCCTCTTAAATTGTCCCAAGAAACAAGTCAATTTGACCAATCACGGTTTTGCCAAGCTCCGCCCACACCCAACCTCTACCTATTGTCCAAACTCCGCCAATCACGYTTAGGACAAACTCCGCCCACACAAAAAACTCAGCCAATCATGTTTAGGACAAACTCCGCCCACAAAAAAACTCCATCAATATTTAGGACAAACTCCGCCTACACAAAAAACTCTGTCAATCACGTTTAGGACAAACTCCGCCCACATAAAGAACTCCGCCAATCATGTTTAAGACAAACTTCCGCCCACACAAAAAACTTTGCCAATCACGTTTAGGACAAACTCCGCCCACACAAAAAAACTGCCAATCACATTTAGGACAAACTCCGCCTACATAAAGAACTCCGCCAATCATGTTTAGGACAAACTCCGCCCACACAAAAAACTGCCAATCATGTTTAGGACAAACTCCACCCACATAAAGAACTCCGCCAATCATGTTTAGGACAAACTCTGCCCACACAAAAAACTGCCAATCACGGTTAGGACAAACTCCGCCCACACAACGAGAAACTCTCCCTATATACTGCAGAGACCCCTGCTTGCATAATTTAGGTGTGAGCAGTAGGAGAGCAGAAATGTTGTTTAGGGTTAATAATCGGATTAGTTGTTTTGTTGTTGATGCTTTGTTTCTGGTAAAAGCTGATATTAAAATCAGGATGGATGGTGTGTGTGTGTGTGTGTGTGTGTGTGTGTGTGTGTGTGTGTGTGTGTGTGTGTGTGTGT